GGTGTGCTGAAGAAAAGAGGGAGCAGATTGTCGGGCCTCCTTCCTATTTATACCAGAAGGGAGCCCGAGGGTGGGGCCCACCTTGCGGGTGGGCGTGGATTACAAGTGTTTCAGTGCTGCGCGGGTGCGCAGGGGGATTACCCAATAGCGATAGCCTTAGAGGGCGAAGCCATATACGAAATAGAACCCACAGTTTAAAGGGGAACATGGGAGAAACCTCAGGGAGAGCAACAGAGGAGGGATCCCTCTCCCAGGACGGACAGACGTGCAATAGATGCCGTGTGTAAATCGAAGAGATAATACATTTTACAGCGTAGGTAGACCGAATGTTTAGAAATGCATGTGTCTGTAATAAGAAGATGCATCACGCATTTTAAAATGTTTTTCGCCTGCCGTCTGTCTGCAGACTTGTCAAAGCATTAATTCATGGTTTTTACTAACCGGTATCAGTATGTTGTTACTTCGGCATCATTTTGAAACGTGTATTACAATTAAATCACGGTCAAATAGTTTCATCTTGTTGTAGTTGTAGCCCCCTTGCCAGCGATTCTCTCTCTATTTTAGCAAAATCAGCCCGACTCAGCCCTGTTTGTTGGCCCCTATAGAACCACGATTTTGTCGGGCCAGAAAAAAGGTGAAAAAGTAGCCCCGGGCCGGAACTAGGCATATTGGAAACGCAACCAAAAACGGGCCTGGCACGACACGGCACGCTTAAAACGCGCTCCGCGCCATAACTGTACGGAGGCTCAGTCACTGGTACATGTTCATCTACAAAGCCATGTTAGTTAAACTACCATCTTGCATCTGCTCTCTGATCACACGGCAGAAAAAAAGTAGCTATTGCCTGAGATCCCATGCTGTGGTTTTGTTAAATGTGTCAAGTCCTAGGACTTTCTTAGGGGCGAAAGCGTTTAGGTGCGAAGCTCCTAAATTGGAACAGTATGCAAAAAGAATGGAAACTGAGCAATTTGGTTTCACTGCATGTTTTTAAAGCTCGGATAGATGCTATGCAATCTGATACTGTTGGTACCTGTAAATGTCGTTATGTACATTGTAAGTCCCTGCCTCTTTTAGTTTTTCTGTTGTTTTCTGTTTTTATGTCTTCATGTGGAACCTACTTGCAGCAGGTCTCCCTTGAAAAAGAGATCGAGGATCTCAATGAGATTCACCTGATTAAATAAAGGTTTGAAATGAGATAGATATATAGATACTGTAGATAGGTACTACTTTATGGATGTTTGCTTTGCAGCAGCATAAAAAACACAAGGCAATGTACATAATAGAAACTAAGACACAGCAATAAACAGTCCAATATATTTCAGAAATAGAATAAAATGGCATAAAAAAGAAAAAAGATAACAAATATATGGAGCAGACAGTTATCTTCCGTTGATTGTGCTGTATCGTTAATCCTCACCTGTTCTATGTTAAAAAAAACTATACAATTGTTTGATCCTTTAGGTAAAACAACAACTGAAAGCAACGTGATTTAAATAGAAGACAGTGGTTAATCTCTGGCCTGAAATGGAATCGGAAAAATGGCATGCAATGAACTGTAAATGTAGTGTAGTGACACGCCTCATCGGCAGGGGGCAGGCTGCCGGAAAGATGCACCAAAACCTGCAAGAGGTATCGTAGAACCGGAACTAAGATTAATATCAACAACCTGTGTTACTACAATTTAGGCAAAACTTTTCTCCAGGTAAAACTGACACACTTTTAAGTTATTACATTCGATACGATTCCGTATTATGGGGGAAGTATTTTCCTGCGCGTTAGAGAAATGTTTTGTTTGTTAGTTTAGCATGTGTAGCAACTAAATAAGCTAACTTTGTGTCACCTGTCTAGCATACATTCATGTTGACAGTCTTGGTTAGCAGACAGTACTTTAATATGCCCAGGTGTCGCTCTGTTCTCAGCTTTAACAAGGTTGCGGGTGTAGCTGAATTGTGTGCGAGCTGTCGTTGACACGTCCTGGTAGTTTTATGTGGCGCTGACAGAACCCGGGTCGTTCGCAATGCTCCTGCAGCTGCTCCCACCTATCAACTAGCCGCCCGGCTGCTCTCCTGTCCGCCGCCTGCCCATGGCTCACTGCGGCCCCGCAGAGCCCAGCGCAAAGGCGCAGGCACCGCGTCCCGACAGCAACAAGCCCGTGCAGGGCAGTGTCGACCAGGGTATGAAGCCGGTGCTTTTCGAGATCTTTGGGGAGTTGTGGACCGTCCAGTCCCGGCTCGGCCAAGGAGTCTCGGCCTCAGTGTACCAGGTCAGCTCGGGCAGAGCCAGCACAACCGCCGCTGTCAAGGAGTTTCAGGCCGACACTCAGGGAGGAGACTACGGGTATCACAAGGAGAGGTCCGTGCTGGAAGATATCCAGGGACATAAAAATATAGGTAACACCATTATTTTTACTAGAATATCGCAGGGTTTATGATACTGGCTACGGTTTTTAATTCTTATGTGTCTTTTACATAGAGCAAAAAGGCCAAATTCTATTAAAACATCTATCGATTTAATATAAACGTGCTTGTCATCCGTGGAATACACCTGGTAGAACATACAGCAAGACCATTCACTAATAGTTATGGTCTGGCTTTTTAATTCGGCACATGATATCACATGACAGGATCTGAACTCAGTGTAACATCAGGCTATTAAATGTGTCACACTGACGTTCTGCTTTGGCTGACAGTTGTAAGCTCTAAAGACCTATTGTTAAAACATTGAACTATCATTATCCTGTTGTAAATGGTCCTGTCCAGTAAGAGGGTTGTTTTTACATGAAAACATGCATCAGGTCTATCTGTTTGCACTGACAGCTCTGTTCTCCTCTCAGTCACACTTTACGGGGTGTTCACCAACCACAGCTGTATGGGTGTTGCCACCCGCTGTCTGCTGCTGGAGCTCCTGGATGTCAGTGTGTCTGATCTGCTGACCAGTGGTACCCAGGGTGGAAGGTAAGTGAAGTCATGTCTCTGCTTCTCATACAGTATTCATCTGACTGCAGCAGGTTGCCAGTTCATCAGATTGGCTCCACCATTTTTAGATCTGAGGGTTATAATTTGCACTCTTATCTGTATTGATTAAAAGGGATACATTCTGATTTGTTGGAGTTGTTTGAGGTACTTCATGGTCAGTGTAGCACATATGCTGGCACACCCCCAGTATGGAGATACAGACAGGAGTACCGCAGAAAGATAAGCAATTAACTGATTGGGGCAGTGGCAAAACGTATTTCCGACACACTTAAAAAACAATATCAGTCAATTGTACGCTATATTTAGAAAACCTTCGCCGTCAGACAGCTCTTTCCGACGGGGAACTTAAGTACTTTTCAATGCTCTCTTCAAAGCCACCTGAATCCATTGACAAAAACAATAATTTTACCTGGCCGAACATGTATCAGCAGGTCTTAGTCAGTTGCAACTGAGTTAACACGAATACAAAAGTAAAATGAGTAACTTGATACAGTGTAGATTATATTTCTAGTTGCAATGACTATTAACTTATGACTGAGTTACTGCTGACCTTGAACTCAGTTTTTTTTAAATGTGACAAGGGGCATTCAGGTAATTGTAAGGCAAACGCAATCACAAACGAAAAAAAGGTTCAGAAAGATTATGCTGGTGAGTGCAGTCACTGTGAAGCTTTCTTTAATTTAGCATGCTCTCTCGGTTGAACTTGATTTTTGATGTTTTTGTCAGACCCCAACAGGGCCACTCCATGTGGCTGGTGCAGCACTGTGCCAGAGACATCATGGAGGCTCTCGCCTTCCTCCACAAGGAAGGCTACGTCCACGCCGACCTCAAGCCACGCAACATCCTCTGGAGCGCCGATGACGAGTGCTTTAAGCTCATCGACTTCGGACTCAGCTTCAAAGAGGGAAACCAGGTGGGTGCCTGGGAGTCTGAGGCCAGTTTAAGGAGCAGCTAGGATAATAAATGTTGGATTTCTTTTTATTAATAATAATAATAATAATAATAATAAT